GTTATTTGATTACATACTTCATCATCACATATCTTTTGAAATGAAAAGTAAAAAAGTTGATCTTCTTAAGTGACTCTGGAACTATATCATTTTTAAAGTTTACAATGTTGTATATTGTAATACAGAAACAAGCTGCTTGCTGTTGCTTTCTTCAGTACTGGTGCTAAACCTACCAAAAGATTTACCCTCTTGTTTACTGAACACCAGGTGGTGCTCTTGGTTAAGTTCAATTTCTCTGAAAAACTCCAGGGCAAAGCAAAGCCAATGAACAAGAGAGAGACTTGCCAACAACTGGAACAATTGCCAGTTCTGATTCATAGAAAGGAAAGATAGGTTATGATCTTAAGTTCTGTGAGAGGGGACACAAGAGGCCAAGCACGTGTGCTTGTTCAAACAAACAAGGACACCTTAATCTCCCTAAACTTGTTCTCATTTCACCTTTCAGTCTCAACACTAACATAATACTCAAGTCTTCTGCAAGAAACCAGTACCCATATATGGCAAAACATGGTAATTCCCAACGGGAAGTCTTCTAGACAACGCAAGACGTATATACTTTTATACTATTTCTGAAATTATAGTACACTTCCTTTGAATATGTCTAACACTTTGCTCTATAGGGTCTAGATTAGTCTGAAAGCTTCCTAGGACATAAATAACGTCCTTTGCCCCTACAGCAGAGGTCTAATAGAACAAATAAGAGCCTCTTAGATTCTCCATGTTAAGTGAATGAAATGGCTAAGCATTTCTCAAGTTCCATTGTTACGTTATTTTATTTTATTTTTTTTTGGCATTTCTCAAGTTTCACTGTTACTGCTTTTGCAAAAACACCTTACTGAACACTGACTCTTCTCCATACTTCTCTGAAGAATCAAAGTTTGTGTATTTTCAAGCTAGAATACTTTTAAGACCCAAATCATTCTAGGTTATAAGCATTCCTTGCAAACTACATATATGAAAATCTGCATCTACATGAAAGACACTGGGAGGGTATTTGTTTTTTTACAAAAGATTCCTCACAGGATTCTTTTCTGTATTTGTATACATTTAAAATAATTCAATAGGTAAATAAATATGTATGTGTATATATATATACATACATACACATATATAAATGGTTTCCAGTAACTCACGAAGATGCACCCACACTTACTTGTTCAGTTGCATTAACACCAGATATTCAGATAGCCACTTCCACAGGATCCACGAGGGGAGGGTGGAGTCTAGCTTCTTAACATGATGTCTGTGGGGGTCGTCCCTATTATGTATTTACAGATTGTTCATTCTCATTGCTGTATAGTATTTACTTGTATAAGCATACCACAGTGCATGTGTGTATGTGTGTGTATGCATTCTACTTTCTCTTTGTAACTATTTTGTTTTGTACTCTTGGCTGCTTTCCTACTTTTTTTAGGCCCTTCATTATATTTTCGGTTGAATCTATTCTTCCTTGGGCATGTTATAATTTAATCTTAATTTGAGGTAATTTTTTCTTTTTCAATTTTTTTGCTGAGTTACATCAACTCTTGTTTTACAGCTTCTTGATGGTTTTTTTTTTTTTTTGGTTCATTTCTGTTGAGATTTTGAATTTCTAATTTCAAGTGTTAATTTTTATTTCTACAAAGTCCTGTTTAAGGATATTTAATTCAGACTGGATATTGTTGCAGTTTTCTTCTGCCTTATGGTTGAGAGAATTTTCATCAGCTGTAGTTGATTCTCATTTTGTTTTCTTCTTATAGTAGTATTTATAGATGTTGTCTTCCTTTTCTGCTCATTTTGAAAGGTCTTATTTTCCTTGACTTGCAAAAACAGTTGGCTCTATGTAGGCAGGGACAAGGGGTTTGTGTGGCTTACCATGTTTCTGATTCAAGAGTGTTTTCTTCTGTCGGTACAGTAAAATGCAGTATTTCTCAGAAATGACACTTTTATGAAGTGGGACACTTTCTTTATGAGGTTGGTGTCTCTTCTGATTGTGTAATTTTTTTTTTCTATAAGACCCTTGCTTCCTTCTTTCACTTTACCATGAAGCCTCCAGGAGACATCTCCCCTTCTTCCAGAAATGGTACCTTGCCCAATGGCCACCTTCAATCTCATGAACTTTCAAACTTCCTCTTGGTGCCCCCACGGCCAGTGCTCTGATGCACTGCGGTCAGATCTATTAGTATTTCCATCGCGCATGGTGGGTCTGTTTTTTTCCCAGTGTACTGCACTGCTAGGGCTCATTGCCCTCATCCCTTTACCATAGTCTCTGCCTAACTCTGCTTTCCATAAGTTCTGACGCGGGCTCTAGTTTCATAAGTGCTGACTCTGGTTCTAGTTTCAGATGCTTATTTCTCTGCTTTCACAGAAGTTGAACTTTTTTCTGTGACTCACAGTTATACTGCAGGTATATTATAGATGACTTTGTTTCTGTCTGTATGGTGCTGGGAAGATCATGAAAGAGATTCAGATTTAGGCAGCTGCCAATATTTCTTAGAAAACCAGGAGCCCAAGTACTTCCCCTTAGATATGAACATACAAACAAGAATTACCAGACATAGAATGTAAGGAAAACTCCTAACACGAAGGACAAAAATTAAAACAAGTAGAAAAAAAGGTTCAATACTGTATCCACTAAACAGAACAGATTGTTATATATTAAAAAAAAATTTAGCGAACAGAAGACACTCTTGAAAATTAAAAACCTGATAGCAGACACGAAACCCTCGCTGGGAGAAGTGGAAAACAGATGTCTTCCAAGTACAGGACAAGAAGAGACATAGTAACTAGAAGAAAGTAACAAGCTCAACCCAGTGGATGCACTGTCTTGACAACGGGAGTTCCAGAAAGAGCAGAGACAGAGAGGAGAAATAACGAATGTAACGGTTTAAGAAAACCAAGTGTAGGGCGTGCATTTACAGTTTGCATGCCTAGCATACTGGCTGAGAAGAGGCACACACTGAAGCACACTGTAAAGCTACAGAGCCCTGGGGACAAAGAATAATTCTATGAGCTTCCACAGAGAAAAAGAAGATTACATTCAAAGAATTAGGAATAGGAATGGCTTCACATTTCTCAGAATCCACAATGGAACCTAGAACCAGTGAGGCAATGCCTTAAAAATTCTTAAAGAAAATGATTTCCAAACTAGAATTCTGAACTCAGGCAAGTTACCAATTAAGTGTGAGGGTAAAACAAAGGCACTGGTCTCAGAAAATGTACCACCCACATACTCTTTCACAGGAAGTACTGAAGGACATGCTCCACCAGATTGAGGAAGTAAACCAAGAAAGAGGAAGATATATGATCCAGGAAACAGGAGATCCAACACAAAGAGTGGTGATGGGGTTCTCCAGAACAATGGGGAAGGGGAATCTAAGGAAGACAGCTGTGTCCCAGGCAGAAACCACTCCAGATTGCTGCAGGTTGGAAGCCACAGGGAAAAAAAAAAGAAAAATCAAGACATTAAGGAAAACAGTCAGTTGTGGAAGAAAAGCCATCATGGTTTATTCTGTGTCTCAGATTTGAATAGCACAAATAGTTTATTAACCTAAGTTACAAATAATTATATAAGATCAGGGGACATGGAAGTGTGCTTGTACATGTATGGTAGGGATGGTGAAGGAGGGCCGGAGAGAGACCTATATTCTTATCTTCCATGTGGGGAAGTTAGTAACTAAAGTCTTAACACTGAAAAATCAAGACGAAGTGATGTAATTACGTTATTTAGAACTAATCAGGCAAATACCCAAAGAATTACTTAAATGAGTCAAAATTTGTTCTTGGGGGAAGAACATAAGGAGCTATTTTTCCTTAACCCTTATAGAACACGTTGACTTAGCTACATGTGTGTGTATAACTTTGACTTTAAAAAAATTAAACAAGAAAAGGAAAGCCTGTGTTCAAGTCCTGGCTCTCGACCACGTACTAGCGATGCGACTGTGAACAACTCACATTTCTGATCCTGTTCTAATTATAAATGGAGATGAAGTTTGCTCTGCCTCCTTTGTATGTTTTGAGAAAAAAATGTATAAGTATTTTATAGAACACCATAGAAATATAGTAATTTTGGCAGAAAAAATCCTAATCTCAGTGAAAGGAAGACCTATCCAATAACTCCTTATCCAATAACCTATATGACACCTTGTTCAGAGTTCAAAAATTATCCATTCGATAAAGAGCTTTAGCTACCTGCAGCTGTTCAGGCTCTCCCTGTCTCATGAAGTGGTTTATATTTATGTGTTTTCTAAGTATACAATTCTTTCCAGCTCATGAGGCCATGCCCTTTATACCTATCATTGGTCCAATGGTATATCCTTAGGCATTGCCATATTTCAGGTGAAATTTACTTGCTGGAGACCATGAAAAGAATTTGCTCTTTTTACTACACTACCTAATTTAATTAGTCTTCATCTCTAACTCATCTGTCCTTTCCTTTAATCCACCCAGCTATATTTCAGTACAATTTCCAAATGCCCTAAGATAGGCTGGAAAATAACAAAAACACCAACTAAAAAAAATTTTAAATAAGAGATAAATGAACATGTATACTGATCACACATCATAAGAGCTCTTATATTTTAGTCTATGACCACACAAATTACACTTTCTTGTATACACACATAGGACACCTGTGACAATTAGAGATAAATGCCTAATGCCCCTTCCATTTTGCAGCAGAGGGGTGATACGGATACGTCCAACAGCACGAGTGTTAGAGTAATTTTTAAAATCCTATTAAAAGGGCAAGAAGCCAAATGTTGAGAATCCAAACACGGGCTCATGGATCCCATGGACAGTCCAGTTACCTCCAGGATGTTTCTCAAATTGTTGGACTCCTATGTTTACTGTTCTCTCTCTTTTTCTTGTTTCACTTATAAAAAGTAATACCAAACGTTCTGGACTAAGCCAGAGATGTGTAAGAGAAAAGCACATTATCTGATGGAAGGGCCCATTAAGAAAGTCAGTGTCTGATAAAGGATTAAAAAACAAAAAAAGACAGCTGGAAATAACAACCATAATTTTTTCAAGAACATTTATACATCCTTTTAATTAGATTAGCTTTACAAGCAAGTTGAGAGCTCTGTCATAATGAAACACTGCTTTTCAAATTACATGACTTTATAGTCTATCTGTATATGAATTCTGAAATTCTTTGCCTGCTGTTGATAAAAGTCTATGTTTTACAGCTGGTTAATGTGTTGAATAAAAACAGCGTTAGAAGCTTTACCTTTAACCAGGATTAAACACATATAGGCCACAAATAGTTTTAAATTCTGTTTTAAGTAGACTCCTGCTTGGTGACAAGTTAACGGTCCCACTAACATGAAAAGAACAGATTTTAAATGGATATTAAGGAAATGGCTATCCTGATTTCTTGATCCTTTCACAATAATCTCCAAGAAATTATATAAACTTTTCTAAAAAATACAAAATTTAAGACCTGTGTGGCAAGCACAACCCACAGACAATAGAATCTGACACTTTGCACAACTGCAGAGATACACATTTGAATGACACAGGGGCTCCCAGATAAAAAGCCTGTTGCTGTACACCTTGACAAACAAACCTCCCATCAACATAATGCAATTTCTACCAGACCTAAAAATGATAGCGCTTTTGAGTTATGGCCTAATGCAGCGCACTGCACCGCAGGCCAGATGGCAAAGACAACTTGCACTCCCAGGTCGGGCTGGCAGAGGCACTTACTGTAGAGATGTTCCATTGTAGTATCTGGAACAAGGAGAGGAAATGGAACAAAACTGAACATGGGCAAGGAAAAACAACAATAAACTATAATTTTCTCCTGGAAGTTCTCCTAAGTGAGATCACAATACTGAATATTTAATCCCACCCTAAGTCCACACTGTCAGTTTCACTAAACAATTTTTTTTTCATGTTTTACATGAACAATAGCAATCTTTTAATAAAAATTACTGAGCTTTCCATAGAAAAGGTCTCTAATGAATACAAACTATACAGATGCTAAAACTGTCATAAGTTGAAATATATAGAAATATTTCTGTACGCTCACATTATTTTGGCAAAGAAGATCAAGGACAGAGATAGAAAACTGAGGTGGGCAAGGTCTTACACCCATAATTCATGCAAAATATGGATACCACCCTTTGGGCTTTGCTAAAGAGCCTAGGAAATTGAAGTCTAAGACATCCATCCCAATTCATACATTAAATAATAGAAGTCTGGGAGGCCTTGTGTGATTTTGTAATATTCTCTCTTTTTCTGAAAAGTAAAAAAGAAAACTCATAAAACATAAAAATAAAATTATCTGGTTTATCGCTTCATTTTTTTTTTAAGCTAAACATACATCTTTCAGTACTGATAAAGAGGCCAGCATCACGTTTGGGGAACGCCTTGCAGTGGTCTGAGGAGTCACTAAGAGCAAGTTTGTAATAACATAGTTCAGTCTCGATGCACACAGTCTCCCCTTGATGCTATCCAACAAAAACAAGGTTCTGATCTGCAGATCAGATGGGTCATAGGAGTAGGAAGAAAACATAACAGCAAAATTGGAAGTACAAGCAACTTGACGGGAAGCAAAAGGAAAAGTCTTAGGAAAGAGGACATTATCTTCTACATCTATAGGATACACGTAAAAGCATAAGAAAGCCCTTTATCTTGGGAACTTGATGCTAAGGATAACCTCAAGTTTGTTTAGTGCCAGTCACTTTAGTTTTTAAAAAAATTTAACTTAAAAGATAAAACCTGCTTATTGTATTTTTTTCTTATAAAACATGAACTAAAAGTTATTGGTAGTAAATGGTGATGGTTTTACTGTTATGTTTCATTATTAACGATGTCAAAAAAATGACAGCAGCAATCTTTAAGAGTTCAAATTAGTTTAAGACAGGACTACAAAATCTGATTTTTCAGTTGGTAATTAAAGTGCTCCTTTTCTTATTTTTAAGTAAAAAAGAAAATTAATCATCAGTCACTGGCAACAATCATTTTAAGAGGTCTTTTAGAGCAAAATTTAATAGTACGAAGCAGTTTACAAAAATAGATTGATACTATCTTGGGGAATAATGCTGTAATTTTTTCTCAATTCAGTTTTGATAAATTGTACCTGATCATACAAAAATTACTTCAAATTCAAACTTGACTATATAAAAAAGGGAGAGATGAAATGAACTCAGTTAGATGACAGATCTGGCAAAATATAAGAATGAAGAAGTTCTACCTAGGGCACTTATTTCATGTCCAGATGTAAATACCATTTTCAGTTGATAGCTTATATTCTTCCCATAAGCAATCACAGGTTTGGAGTCAATCATGCAGTACAAAGCCACACAGTCAAAATCTTCTTTATGATGCAACACAAAAAAGTTGTTTCTGTTTCCTTATTAAAATGCCAACTGGTTGTCTATTTTTCTTTATCCCATTTATTCATATTCACAAGTTAACAAATAGCATCAATGATTATTGTAGTTGAAGTGGGCTATTGCTGGCTCAAAGGCTCTATAAGACGTCTTTAGTGATTGAATCAGAAGGTTTATTGAGTTCAACCCTCACACCTTTTTCACCTGCAAGGTAAAAAAGAAAAAATAAATTCATTCATTCATTCGTTCAGCACCAGAGAGCTTCTGTTACTGCTTCCCACTGAGTTCCTAACAGTATGCAGTGTTTCCACTATCTGAAAACTGTCACACTTGCACTTCCAAAAGCTACCCTCAACACTGCATTATGATGCATGCATTATTCTGAACTAGTAAACCATCACAGGGAAAAACAATTCTCTACACAGAGCTAATGATTTTGTCTCCTTTTTATTTTAAAAGCAATTTGAATTGCTATAAAATAGCAGTGTGTTCAGTGTCACTGAAAGCACGCACTAGGCTTCTGCCACAAATAATGACTTTAAAAATACACAGAAAATGCATGAACATCCAATTTTTATAGTTTTATAAAAGGTTGATATGGGATTATCAGTGGCTCATGAAAATACAGCTAGTTAATCAGTAATGTGAACACTGAGCAGACTTTTGGAGATATAAGGTAGGGTTAAAGAAAAGACAGGTAAGTGGTCCATCAGATGGAAAACTAAGACCCACTGCTCTAGGAGACAGTCCATAAGTGGCGGGCTGGCATATTGAAGGACCTTCAAATTTAGTAAAAGTGTGCTGACCTATGGACACCACAGGCAGATATGGACTCTACATGCCTGTCTCATTTACTGATTTTGGCATTTCAATTCATCTCTTTTGTATTAATTTTCTTCACGTCCACAATCAACGTGGAAGACCCGGAGTATTCTTTGGAACATGTATGTTTAAAAAGGAAAGGATATTAACTTCCTTCTAAGGGGAGAATGAGAGGAAGCCAGATGGCAGTTACCCAGACCTCAGCAGCCCGGGGTTGAAAAGGATAATCACATAAAAACTCAGCTTGTATTTGAATAATTTGTCTTAGGCTTCTTTGCCTCAAACTTTCCTAATGTTGGGACAATTTTGTTGGTTAAAGATAACAATGAAGATGACTTAAGAGAAGTCTTCTTTTAAATAAGGGAATTAAGGAATTTGACAAAAACAAGGAGCAAGTCTTGATGGCGTTAATAAAGGCTGCGTTTGCACTCCCGAAAAGCACTGCCCAACTGTGGGTGTTTGCCTTCCAGTACACCCTGCCCCAAATCATGTTTACCTGTTAGATATTTTACTTTAGCACGTGCTCTCTCATCTGCATCAAAATACCAAACCGTTATTGCGTACCTAAAAGAAAATTCAGAATAGGGTAAGAACGATTACACTGGGGGGAAAAAAAGTGGTATGCTGTTGCAATGGTCTATTAAAACTTGTAATGCCAAAATAATGCCTAAATTGGTATGATATCAGAGGATAAATGAGCACAGTAACAACTCACTTATCCACTAACGTCAGTGCTCAAGAGTATAGCAGAGAACCAGCAGAAGCTAAAATTGATGTTGCAAAGTTGATGAGTTTTCATGACTTTCTTAATACCTATTTAACCTACATGATTATCTGTTTTGCAAGCCCACAGCAGATCAGAAACAGACAATAAGAAGGTAAAAGAACGGCTGTTACAGAAAAAGCAGACCATCAATAGTGTAAGTTCTAAAAGAAGAGAAGAGAAACAGAAAAGAACCAAAGCCTGGGGCCCTTTAGTGAAAGGGAGGGCTAATAGTCTCAGCTTCTGAGGACATCACTATATTATAGCAAAGAATAATGATGGATGTTTACAATTTTATAATCTGGAATCATCAAGAAAGAGTTAAATTATGCTAAGAATTTTTATCAAAACAATTCTACTATGTTCTGACATTTGAAGTTTAGCTAAACTTCATTTTTCTGAAAACTTCCCTTATTTGGAATATCTCATTCCACAAATAAATGAGGAATCTCTGGTTTATTAAATACTACAAAGCACATAGTTACACCTTTTGGTACCAATAACGGGGAAAATGTACACAACACTATAGAAAGTGAAAGAATGCTACAAAAGATCTATTCCTTAGCGGAACATAACAATCAGTTCAAGTATCTTGCAGATTCTGGCCAGTGTTCACTGAAACAACACTGATCAAACAAAGAGCCAGTAAATGTGAGAGAACTAAACCACGTGACATATTCAAAGAGTCAAAGGCAGAGTAGAGTCAAAGTCTAGGAGTCTGAACAACTGGGGAAACTGAGGCCCACAGATCACTCAGCTGGTGAATGACAAAGCTGAGGTCCAAGTCTGGCCTCCTGACTTTCACACTCTGCTCTTTCCAAAGCTCCAGCACCTTTCTTACCAAGTAGCCTCTTTTGTTTTTCCAGGTGGCCTTGGTGATGGGAAAGGTGCACAGATAAATCATTTTATATCTCCTCTTTTGCACATGCCCCAAACTTCTAGTTACTTAGTAGTCCAAGATCTACTACCTGGATCAACTCCCCTCCATATCCTAAGTGCTTACCAGAAAACAACTGTAAATACTGTATGTCATTCTACTTTTCCTACTTTTTCTCCCATTTAAAGAATCCCTCTCCTCACATTAATCTCTGTACTGTAATTCGAACAGTCTTGCCCTTTTCTCCCAGGGCTTTACTAACACTATTGTCCTCCTTGCTTCTGTCATTCTAGGCTCAGCTGAGCTCTCTTCACTGTGACACCTGACCCATCTATTCCAATTTAATACCACTTTCTCGCTCCTCCGAACCCCTGTAGCACTTATCCTCCGTAATCGTTTGGCATTTATTTACTACCTAGAAATGTTTGCTATCTCTTCATTTAGAAAGGATACAACCAGACCATACTCAAGATTCCATAAAAAGGAAGGTCTATGAAGCAGCTTCTAGGTCAGAAAAAGTTCTAAAGAAGCAGTTGGGGTAGAGATAGCACTGGGATGCCTGCTGAAAGGAGAGATGGGGATTTGGGACGGATGTCACGTGATGTGACAGGAGCCCCCTGGTTTCCATTCATGGCTTCTTATGATCTCTATCCACAAACTGCTCGGCTTGCTCACTCACTATGTGAATTAGGGCTGAAGGCAACACAGCTCAGAAAGAAGCAAGAAAAAGGGAGAGGTGACAACAGAGTCTTTAGAATTTGAACCTCATCAAAGGCTGGCCCGTCTCTAACATCATTATTAAAAGCCAATCCTTCTCCCAGTGTATCTAAGGGTATGCCTCTTTTCACCAGATCTAAGCAACTGCAGGTCAGTAATTCACTATTAGAAGCTTTGAAGTCCTTTCTATAATAAAAAATAGGTATTTAAAAATAGTATTGCTCTACAAATATTTATTTTTATAACAATGTCTGTAACATCTTCCATTTTAATAGACATTTTAATTGAGTCATAGTAAATGGTAAAAAAATTGTTTTAAAGAATACCTTAAACATAATAGGTTTAGAATACAAAACTTTGTAGAAAAAGAGTACAATGAAGAAAATGTAAAGAAGAGTATAATGTAGAAAAAGAGAGTTAATAACCCTAGTAGAAGCTTCTATTAAAGCTAAAGGGTTATTTTTTCTAACATTAACTCCCACCCATGGCAACATTTTCTCTTCTTTTCTTTATTCTTTTTTCTCTTCATTTCTACTCTGTAGTTACCTCTTATTTTTCTACTCTGCATCATTTTTCTACAACATCCCTCTTTCCCCACTCCACCCCCCCACCTTTCAAAAAGCTGCTCTTTTCCTTCTCTATCTAATCTTTCTATCCCCCAAGTGAATACTCGCACAAAATCATGGACTAGATAGTAGCTCAGAGACGCACCAAACAAGGAGACAGGGCTAGAAATATGAGACGGTCTGTGCTTCCATTTCTTACTCCAAACAAGGAGTGGCTGTGCAAAGAAAGTCACATTTAGTACTAACTGTGAACCAATCTTATAAGATTATTCAAATTAAAATAGTTATGACTGAAGCATTATGATAAAGATAGCTGAAGAACAGGAAAGATACTCATTAGAAAACTTTCCAGTTTATTCTATCTGTCCCCTCCTATCCTATCATATTCTTTACCAATTTTTTCTTAAAAGGAATACTACCTTGTAGCATATGCTGGTTGTACTTCATGAGGGTTGCGACGGTCAGACCAGAAAAACAGCAGTCTATCAAATTTGGGTTCAATGTCAGCAAACTGGGCTTTGCCTTCTGGAAAAATTCGAAGTATACCTCCACTTACCTAGGAAAAGAGACAAATGTGTAAGTATGAGTAAACAAAAATGCTACAAAATTAAATTTAGGAGGGAAAAAGACCATTTCAGTGAATCAAAATTCTTAATTGGATTATTCATAAATATATCTCAATTAAAAAGGTATGAAAATGAGTTGAGATTCCAAGTACATATGCCGATACAAGGAAAAATTCATTTCTTGTTTGAGATTTTTGTAAATACTTGATGAAACGGATGAATGTTATCTGAATTCTTAAGTCTTAAAATGACATTTGAAAGTTTTAAAAACTAGTAAACATTTATTTATATATGCTAATGATTTGCTTAATCTACTCTTAAAATGTATCCATTTTAAATCATCTTGACTAAATTACTACAAATGGTTAAGTATACCAAACAAATAGTTTATCCTATTTTAAAGTTCAACTGATAATTAACAGGACAGTCAGAAATTTAATGCCTCTTATTTAAAGAATTCAGTATATCAGTAGAAAGTGTCAGCATTTATCATCATCATCATCATCATCATCATTGTGGTCATTATTAGAAACTGTAGCTCTCCCTTTCCAGACTGGGTCTGACACATTGATAACTACTTGCTTATAAAACTGGATTCCATCCAGAAAGGATTATTACTGTTTGCCCAAATATATTTCCTTCTCTATTTGGAATTTGGACTCACCTCTTCATTCCAATATTGATTGAGTGTCTATTGTTCTGGGACCTGTGGTGGGCCCTGGGCGCAGAGTACGGAATAATGCAGACAGAGGTTGTCCTGTGGTATTTATAATCTGGGAGGAATTAAAGTGAGGCAAAAACCTACCCAACTGAGTAGCTCTTTACCCTTGAAAAACTAATAAACTGCTAGGCAGGTAGACTGTTAAATTGAGGGAACTTTAATCCTTGATCAAGACATCACAGAGGTTGAGCCTATTCCTAGAATCTATAATTAGAGAAGCTGTTTATCAGGCTCATCCTCAAGTAAGTTAAATTCAAGCTACTTGGTATCTTTGCCCACCTTCCTCAGGTTCCAGTGTTGTTCAGAGTGATTCCCACAGCACTCACGCAAACATCTAAAGAACCTCTAAACTGTGACGGAGAACATGTCTTCTTTCCTTTCCTCCTGCCCCCTTCCCTTTGACTGGAGTCATTGGGAATATCACAGGTGATCTGCTGAGAATGTTTAAAAAAAGACAGATAGTTGAAGCTTCCAATCCTCCTCTGGGAAACCTTCCCTGACCTCTGATTTAGGGGGCCCTCCTGCATGCTCCCACAGCGATCTGTCCTGCACTTGGCCTATAACCCATTGTAACTGTTAATCTACTGATCTGCACCTTCCACTAGATCCTAAGCTTTCTGAGGGCTATTTCTATTTCTGCTCTGTCTCCAGCACCCAGAACAATGTCTAGCACACTGCACATATTCAGTGCAAGCTTACAACGGAGGTTTTCAAAAAGTTGTACATATAAAAATACTAAGGACTTTTTTCTGCTTATGTACTAATTTAAAAACTATATATTAATGACCTTGGCTACGTCATATCAAAATTAAAAGGAGATCAACTAGAAACAACCTAACAAAATACAGAAGCTAGGAGTTGATCAAACATATTTCTAGCTTTCTAGATATTCACAAAATCTGAAAAGAAAATAAATTTTTAAGTTTTAAGCAAAGTTAACCAATCTGTTTTGTGTGTTGGGCTCAAGATGAATTATCGAATTTATTTCTCTGTTTCAAACTTTGAAAGGGATAACAGAAAAACCATGCTTGTTGACATAATGCCTCAAAATCTACTTAACAGTAAAACCTCCCTCCATTTTGTACTTGGACTAAGACAGAGAGGAAACTCTTTAAATCACTAAATTTTAGGATATGCTTTCAGGAAAGAAGTAGGTTTCTGCAACTTGAAGACTTGGTGGTTCCCATCTGTGTATATGTGTGTGGGGGGGTGGGTTCAGGGGTGGGAGGTGTTTTAAAGGTTGATTTTTAAAAATTACCCTGGCTACACAGGTGTGTTCACTCTGTGAAAATCCACCAGGCTATACATTATGTTCACTTTTCTATTTTGAATATATTGCTTCAATAAAAGTAAATTAAAAAAATATTAGGGCCGGCCCCGCGGCTTAGCAGTTAAGTGCGCGCGCTCTGCTACTGGCGGCCCGGGTTCAGATCCCTGGTGCACACCGACGCACCGCTTCTCTGGCCATGCTGAGGCCATGTCCCACATACAGCAACTAGAAGGATGTGCAACTATGACATACAACTACCTACTAGGGCTTTGGGGAAGAAAAAAAGGAGGAGGATTGGCAATAGATGTTAGCTCAGAGCCGGTCTTCCTCAGCAAAAAGAGGAGGATTAGCATGGATGTTAGCTCAGGGCTGATCTCCCTCACCAATAAACAAATAAATAAATATTAAAAAAAAAAATCTACCAAAAATTAGTTTATACAACCTCCAATGTAATAATGCATGATATACTTCTAAAGTTTAACTCATTTAAGTGAAACTCAGGCTAATATTAGGGGAATATATATTTAAAACATGAGACATTAAATGTATTGTACATTCTAATTGGTTTTATAGGATTTGTCAGATTGATAAACTTTTGGTTTTTCTGTGATCAAGGAAAGAAGGAATCCTGCCTCCAATATTCATTCAACAACCCAATGCCAGATAACATCTCTACAACAATGCAAAGAATAAAATGTAGGAGTAAATAGGAAATAACCCATAATAATTATTTATACATCATCTCCCTCAAAAGCCATTAGAAAACAATCGTTCTCAGAAGTGTTTTTATAAAAACTATTAAAAAGAATATATTTTAATAAAAGATACTTTTGTAAAAGTTAAATTTTGGATGAATGCCTCAATAAGTGAAAATAAGGGAATCCATTTTTTGAGATATATTACTATCTATTTCATTTTACAAAGATCCACCCCTAATACCTGAGACTGAAACAAATCTAAGAGAAAAATTTTTAAGTGTTCATGTGTTAAAGACAGTCTCACCTGTGAGGAGTATGAATCTTAATACTTGTGAGAAAAAAAAACAAATGCTCATTTAAGTTGCATACCTTGGCATCCCAGTCCTTATTAAGATAATATATACATGTCACACATCTTCCATCTCCATTTGGATTATCAACATGGCGTACATAACCTGTTCCATTGCCTGGATAACAAGCAACCATAGCCTGTAATAATAATAATAATAATAATGATTTTAAAAGTCCATGTATGAATAAAAAGAGAAAACAGCTTATAAAAGAGATCTCTGATTTTTGGCCACTCTGACTTACACTTAAATTCTTCTAATAAAAATAATATTTTGTAGATAAGAAGAGGTAAAGATATTCTATGTTGATATTTATAAAGAATCCAAGGATAGACTGGTGAACAATCCAAGGCTTGGTGAATTCTGCTTCACAGTGATGGGAAGAGTCAACATAGAAGGATCAGAGCGCAACATTGCTACGAACACTTGGCTGTCACAAGCCAGTTGCCTGTGCTTAAAACTCCAAAGATTGGAAGGATTGCAGAACCCACTTTCATGATCTTTATTCATATTGATGATCAAGATAAAGTGAGTTTTTGTCCTGCTCCATGGGAGACTTCTATCCTCCCTGAGCTCATCACAGAACACCTACCTTACTGTCTGACAGCCAAACACCCCATCTGACACTGTCTCTGAATGGTACCAACTCAGAGAGGCCTAATTTAGAAGGTCAACTCCAAACATTAACTCACTGATTGTCAGCCACTTAAAAAAGGCTAAATGACAAATTAGCATGTGACTAACCCTTCTTCAAATCAGATAGAAAGTAATTTTTCCACTCAAATTATAGCAAGATGCAGTTCCTAAGACTGCTCGGTGTTAAGCATGAAGGTGGATGACAGGCCCAAAATAAAAAGCACCAAATAACTTACATGTTATTATGTACATGTAGTACATAATAATCCAGTGAAATTAGTATGGGCAATTAAAAAAAAAAATCTCAGGAATTATGAAGAAAACAAAAACAAAGATGTACAAAGCTACCAGTTATTTTTGAAATCCTTTATTTCTCCAATTTCTTCATGTATTAAAGCCAATGGCTCAGTATTAATGTCAACGAATTAGCATAAAGTTATCAAACAGTAATTAAATTACATCATTAAGATAAATGTCAAATGCTAAGTTTTAAAATTCATGTTCAATTAATTAGTGAATACTTAACTATGTTCCATTTCTGAGAGACTAGGAAGCATTTCAAACCTGAATGCTTAAAAAAAAAAATCACATTTTTGTGGACACCCTGAACCTACTACTCTTTATCTGAAGCAGAACTTTTGGTGAATATTACATATGTCTCTATTTCTCCTGATTCTAGACAGATTTAAATTCCTCCTCTTGGGACTTGAGGTTGGTAATAACAGGGAGAATGTCATGGGTTTAGTGGGTTTAATAATGCCTAATAAAAGATAAATCCAAACAATTTCCTTGTCATTAGCTGTTAAGGAAAGGCATATGTAGCCGACTTGGAACAGTAACTATAAGAAGGTTCTGGGCCGGCCCCGTGGCTTAGTGGTTAAGTGTGTGGGCTCCGCTACTGGTGGCCCGGGTTCGGATCCCAGGCGCGCACCGACGCACCGCTTCTCCGGCCATGCTGAGGCCCCGTCCCACATACAGCAACTAGAAGGATGTGCAACTATGATGTACACCTATCTACTGGCTTTGGGGAAAAAAAAGGAGGAGGATTGGCAATAGATGTTAGCTCAGAGCCGGTCTTCCTCAGCAAAAAGAGAAGGATTAGCATGGATGTTAGCTCAGGGCTGATCTTCCTCACAAAAAAAAAGAAGTTTCTAATTTAACAATGTGATTAATCCATTTAATTGAGACAATTATGGTGAATTACACAATACATTCTTATCCACAGAAAAGAATGGAAAAAACAAAACGCACATGAATTCTTTCCTAAAATGATCTCATCTCAAAAGAGTTCATTCAGCCTCTCCAACTAGCTGATAACTTCAGCATCTCTCATGCAAAGAATGAAGGGGCAAATTTTTCTTCGTTCATCCACCCCTTCCCATCCTTCCCATCCCACCCCATCCATCCATCCATTTGACATATACCAACTCTTAAGTACCTCCTATGTATAGGAAAGGCCCTGGGGCTAAGAAGATGAACAAAACAGACAAAGTTCCTTGCTTTCATTTATTATGGAACCTAGCGTAGTGGTGTAAATAACCAATAAACAAATAGATATATAATGTAATGTTAAGCAGTGATGAAATATCTTTGCACAAGATATGAAAAAAAAATTAAGTCAAAGGCTAGAGAAAATGACAGTATAATATTCTAGAACAGTGGTCAAGGAAGACCTCTCTGAGGAGCTGACATTTGAGCAGAGACTTAAATGAAGGGAGTGGCAAGCTGTGCAAATATCTGCTGGGTGAGCGTATCTGGCAGCGGAACAATGAAGGTAAAGGCAGCAATGGCTGGGAAGGGTGGAAAACAGCAGCAGGCCAGCTGGAATAGAATGAGCAAGGGCAACAATGATCAGAGAGGGTCCAGCAAGCCATGGTAAGGACTTGGGATATTGTTATAAAAGTGACACGAAGCCAATGGAGAATATATCTGATTAATGTTTTAAGAAGGTCAGTTTCAATTCTGTATGAACAAAAAATAATAATTTCAATAATCTCAGTATCACCTACTACCTAACATTTATTGGACGTTTACTATTTGCCAAGCACTATTCTAAGTAATTTATGTGTAATTACTCAACTGACACAACTGTATGAGGTAAAAAGTATCATTGTCATCCTCATCTAACTGTAAAGGAAACTGAGGCTCAGAAAGCTTACTTAATGTTCTCAAAGTCACACGACAGTGGAACCAGGTATGAATGCAGGCAATCTGGTTTCAGAATCCATGTAATTAACCACCATACTAAATTGCAGGGGAGGAAGAGTGAAAAAAAGAAGATGGCTAGTTGGCTATTGCAGTTTCTAGGAGGGAAACAAAAAAGAGGCTGACCAGGGTGGCAAAGTGGGATATATTTTAAAGGCAGAAAACCAACATGATTTGCTAATAGATTGAAGTGGAAAGTAAGAAGAGTCAGGATGATGCCAAGGTTTTCATCTTATGTAACTGAATGAACAGCGTTAACTATTTACTAAAATGGAAATACTAGATGAAAGAGCGGTTTTAATAACATGCATAGGGCACGAAAGGAGTTTCTCAACAATGGTCATGATGAGCCAGATATCCCAGAATAGAAAAAAAATCGAAGATACCAGGATTCTGCCTCAATATGGGATCTGCTGGTATTAGTCACTTCTAAACTGCTTTCTTTAGAGCCCTAGGATTACATGGAGGTACCTAGGGGTGGCGACTGGCAGAGAGTAAAATGAGAAGAGGTCAAACAAGCAGGTTTTGCCCCAGCCTTCAACTAGGGGCAGCATTTATCTGTTTCCTTTATTTGAATTCCAAGTGAGACTTTTTGAAAAAATAAAAGATGCAATAAAAGTTTTAAACAATTGTGTTATTAAATTTCACAATCCCTGATATAGCTCAATTACCTCCATCTGAATGTATTATTTGAGGTGGCCATTACCACTTCAGCCTTATCTAGTGTTCCCTAGGTCCCTTTAGCTCTGCTCTGGTGATAAGGACACTGCCAAATGAAGAGAAAGGAAGGAAGGAGAGGAGGATGAGTGCTAACAGGGCTTGCATCTAATCTGCCAACTCAGCTTGTCAATACTAGCTCTAGAAAAGGCAGCAGTACATTATTCTAACCGAAAAAGGATAAAATGAAAAACGTCAGTGTAACCCAGCAAACTAGAAAGCCTATCAATAATTACAGCTAAATGCTGGTGGCTATAAAACAAGAGCACTACATAAATGAGAAGGAAGCCAAGGCAATCCTGGTCTGGAAGGAGTAAGAGTCCCAGAGCACTGCCAAGCCCTCTGTCCCTACAGCTAGAGACTTTAAGAGGAGAAAGAAGAGCCTAAGCACACCCAGAAAAAACAGTCATGGAAAATCTGAGACCTGAAAGAGCCAAACTCCTAGAGATTCTAGGGAAAGAGAAATTTTTAGGAAACTTGCAAAGATTTGGAAAGGTCATGAATTCATTCAAATAACTGTGTGGCCTAATAATGATATGGTGAAACTACATTTAGTAATTCACACACGTACTGAGACTCCTCCCCATTTGGATTTGAGAAAACATAAAAAGGTATTTCTACAAGTCTCATGAAATCTGACAGCTCCTATGTTTAAAACCAGTATTCATATTTAAACAAAGTTATCTTTAGCCATGGTTCGGATTAACAAAATTTAAAGTTCCTTAAATGTAACATAGCTTTTCCAGCTTTGAAATAATATTCATACTCGATTTCTTAACTGGAAATTTTGTTTTCCTGGTGTATTTTATATACATTTGTGAAAAAAAGACTCTGATATTGCTGTTTTTGTTTTGTTTCTTGTTTTTAATATACAGAAGACTCTAACACTCTTTCTTATTCACCATACTTTTAGTAAATTCAGTTTATTTTCTCTTAATCTCTTGGTAAGGCAACTAATAACAACTCATTCTACACCTGATTTTACCTACCTGAGCACCTTATCAGTCTATAAGTCATTAGCAGCATTAAAAAATATTTATGGAATATCTACCATATCATACTACAAAAAGGCTCATTATGTTATCTGTCTGAAAGAACTTAACTGGAAAGAAAGAAAAAGCTGGGCATACACAAAACAAATGATAAACTGAGTCATGCAAATAATAAACAAAAAAAGAATTCTGAAACAAGGAACTATTCGTGTGGGATAAAATAATATGACGAGGCTTTGAGCTACACATAAAACCTAAGCTCATCTTTAAAGGACAGATGAGATTTGGAAAGGTGACAGGAAGAAAAGCAAACAGTATAAGCATAACAAATATAGGAAACAGTTAAGTGACAGTGAGGTATTTTATAATGGTCTGCTCTGTGACTTAACGACTTAAATAAATAAAGTTAATTTGGTAGGAATAAGATGAAATCTTGAAAATTAAGCAGAGGAAGTAGGAATTAAAAGGGAAGCAGCAGTGAACCACTGTGGTTCTTGGGCAGGTACGGCCACAATGAAAGCTTTTAAGGCAGCTTCCTTATTCTAGAATTTATATGAAAGATTATTATAAGATGAAGCACACTACTATG